CTTGCATTAACTCTCTGGATTACTATTTCCTGTCTCAACATGGCTTTCAACATAAGCAAGGGCATAAATAAGTTATGAAGTGCGATTTAATAAAATGTGCGTCATACTTTCTTAAATTGTGAACATTGAAATTTTCTCTGTCAGTCGTCGCAATTCCATGAAATGCGCGTTTGTTGGCATCTAATCTGATGGAATTGACAATTTAATAACAAAAAAAAATTACAAAACATTGGAATGAAAATGTTGAAGAATTCCTAGAAGGGGTAATTTCACCTCCCTCCTAAGCAAAGGACATTTTTGCATCAAAGGAATAAAAGAAAAATATGAAAATGGCAGAAACCAAAAACGGAAAGTTCATGGGCATAAACGTGCAGGAAACAATGAAGAAACAAATAACTGAACAGTCAAGTAAAAAGTACTGATTAAGCACAAATGTATAAAGTTATGAGGAATAAATGGGAGTAGAAGAGACAATCGAAGGCTGTTCTGAACTATACTTGAAACAGACTTGGGGACAAAATTAAGAATTTAATAGCAAAGAAAAAAAAATTATTAAAACATTTGAATAAAAATGTTGAAGAATTCCTAGAAGGGAACAATTCATCTGTTTCTCTATGAGCAAAGACAATTTTTGAAAAAGTTTAGAGAATAATCCATAAAGACAAATTAAACATACACTGAAAGGAAGGTAAGAGGGCATTTGACTGAACGGAACGAATAAAATKAWTATTTGYCCCAATTTTACTACTTTAATTCACGGCTKTTAAKGTAGTTTATGCAAAATTCGGCACTTGAACCTTTTAAAGCAGATGTTTTTTGAAAAGTTTTATAAGTATTATCAGTATTTTCGTTTGAAGTCCTGTTTTGTACGCATTTTTTATTCGTTTGYATAAATTCAGTAATATTTAATTAGGTTTCCCAGTTTTTCCTGCTCGGCTTGGTACTTGCCTTTACCATTTTTCCTKATTGTTGTTAATTTGTTGCTATTGTATTGTTTCTTCTACGCTATTAACTGATTCCTTAATTTCTGAAYCTGCATTGAAATCAGCTTCGGATTTTGTCTTCAAAGTGAGCATGAAAYTTTACAATTTRRAAAATTTCTAACACGAAAAGGCATTCAGCGTCTCAAATTTTTGAAATTATAATTAACTGTTTGTGTGAACCACTTTTTAAATAGGCAAAGGAGATAAAGATAGACTGAATAAAAACAAATTTGAAATTTTAAAAGACTTATTTAGGAATGGCTGCAATAAAAGAAAAATATGAAAATGGCAGAAATCAAAAACGAAAAGTTCATGTACATCAAGGTGCAAGAAAAAAATAACAAACGAATAACTGAACAGTCGAGATAAAAGTACTGATTAAGCACAAATGCATAAAATTATGAAGAATAAATAGGAGAAGAAGAAGAGACAACTTAAACTACACTTAAAACATGTAGGAAAGGACTTTGGTAGGAATTAAATAATTGGTGACAAAATTAAGAATCTAATAAGAAAGAAAAATTAACAAAACATTGGAATAAAAATGTTGAAGTATTCCTAGAAGAAGGGAACAATCAATCTGTTGCTCTATAAGCAAAGGAAATTTTTGAAAAAGTTTAGGGAATAATCCAAAAAGACATATTAAACATACACTAAAAGGAACTCACGTTAAACGAGATGGAGACCAGGTAAGAGCGCAATTAACTGAACGGAACGAATAAAATAAATATTTGCGTCAATTTTACTGCTTTACTTCATGGCTTTTAACGTAGTTTATGCAAAATTCGGCTCTTGAAACTTTTAAAGCAGAAGTTTTCTGAAAAGTTCTATAATTATTATCATTATTTTCGTTTGAACAGCTGATTGGTGGCCATTTTTTATACGTATAAATTCAGTAATATTTAATTAGGTTTTCCAGTTTTCCTGCTGGGTTTGGTATTTTCCTTTACCATTTTTCTTTATTGTTGTTTATTATTGTATTGTTTCCTCTATGCTATTAACTGGTTTTTTAATTTCTGATCCTGTATTGAAATCAGCTTAGAATTTTGTCATCAAAGTTTAAAATTTGAAAAAAACGCATTCAGCGTCTCAATTTTTTTAAAATTATAGTTAACTGTTTGTGTGATCCACTTTTTAAATAGGCAAAGGTGATGAAGATACATTGAATAAAAGTAGATTTGAAATTTGAAAAGACTTAAGGAATGGCTGGAATAAAAGAAAAATATGAAAATAACATGAATCAAAAACGAAAAGCTCGTGAGCATCAAGTAATATAAAAGTAGGTGTTAAAAATGAAAAAAAAACTAGTAAAAAGTACTGATTAAATACAAATGCATAAAATTTTTAAGAACAAATGGGAGAAGACGAAGAGACAGTCGAAGGCGGTTCTGAACTATATGTGCTTAAAACATGTAGGAAAGGACTGTGGTAGGAATGAAAAAAACTGAAGACAAAATTGAGAATTTAATAACAAAACTTTGGAATGAAAATGTTGAAGAATTTCTAAAGGAAAAAACTAATCTCTTTCTCTATTAGCAAATGAAATTTTTGAAAAAGTTTGAAAACTGATCTAAAAGGAAAAATTAAACGTACACTAAAMGTAACTTACGTTGGACGAGATGGAGACAARGTAAGAGCGCATTTGTTCGCATCTGTCGAGCGGAAGGAATCGAAATGAAAATTTGCAAGAACATATAACAAAATAATTGAAAAACAAGTGTTTYTCATCGCTTCAAGATAACAAACGTTAATAAACCTGAAACTTTTTGTTGTTTCAAATGCTTGGTAGATGAGAAAAAGGGCGTCTCATTCTAAATCAWCACCATTTCCTTCTGTTTATATGAAATATAATTMATTTTTGGAAACTTTTAATACAAAGTCTTCTTTCACTGTTCGTTTAGTCGTTTGTTTTGTGAATTGGCTGTATTGAAGGGAGCCTACTGACTATGTCTTCAAACGTTTTCATCCAGGCAAAAAACTTTGCACTGTTTTTTGATTTAAGTATCAGTTTTAACAAAATCTTGAGCAATTTAAGCAATATTACAACGTTGGCGCAGTCGAGTCGCTTCCATCGGCTGATGGCTGAGATTGAAACCCCCTGCGGGAACTTTCCAATCATTTTCCAGACAGCAAACTGTTCAAACAGAGCATTTATATAACAAGAGCATAGTGGGAGAGACATTGGAAAGTCCGCAGCTAAAAGAACTGGCTCCATTCCGTATACCCGCAATCCATGAGTACGGGAAACCTATTAGGCCAGTGTTTTTACATCTTACTTCCCTCGCTAGTTTCCCGAAAAGATAATTGACTTTCCCGGAAGGGTGTGGATAAAGGACCCTGTTACTGAACGTGCAGTCGGAGTTTTTGCGGCTAAAAGATAATTTCGTGCCGGGCTCATTACGTACGAAACTGACACGGTCGTTCGCTGTTTCATGATGTCCGTGCAATGTTTTCCAGATTTTATGCATACGCAGCCTGGACATTTTTTCCCCACACACACACACGCTATGCCCCGAATGGCACTCATTAAATCCGACGGCCAGATAATAATTTAAACGTCAAATATCCGCCCAATTAGACGGGAAACGAACGTAACATGCACCACTAAAATAATGGCAGTCAGTCGGATTGACCGGTCAACCTTATAATTAAATCGGATAAAATATGTTGCGCAATGTTTTAAGTGCAAGAATTTAAGTGCGCACGCCACTGGAAGAATCCGTCCATCGACGTCTGACGTCACTGGGCTCCAGCCCTGTGAGATTCGGTTACTTTTGAATATTCGTAACGACTCGTTCCTTCGGATCCGGATGAGTAACGAATAGGAACGGTTTTTCGCCACTAGTGGTCACTATGTGAAGTGCACGGCACAGCGATTATTCCTGGCGTGTCTCCATTAGCTTTTGGGGGACATTTAGAATCCCGCAATTTTTTGGAGTGTCAATTTCGATAACGTATTGAGTCGGAACTAATCCAGGCAGAGTTTCATCATTATTCTCACGGCGCAAACATTGGCTCTGAAGAGCCGGGGGTCGATGCCGAAACATCAATCACCCGGTTTATCTTTTTGGGAGAGCTGGAGACTATGCGAACATTGGCTATTTTGTTATCAAGTCGAGCGGAAAAATCTAGTTTCGACGCTACAGCTTTGTCAATGGAACAAAGGATTTCGGCTCGCTCGATTGTTCGATTGTTTTGCTGTTCGACTGCCTAATTGTTTCGATGGTTTCGCGCCTACTTAATTGGAGTAAACGTGGTCGGTTTTGCACCTCAATACTTTTTCGCTTTGAATGCCCCTCATATCTGGATCTAACCTCACATGAACATATCTGATCACACAATAAGGCTGTGTTGAGTTGCGCTTCTGAGTTGATGCCGCTCTGTGCGTCAATGCGCGATAACTCAAACATTGAACCTCATTCAAGGTGACGTGTGTTACTCACTTTTTACCCAGTTCTTATATTCACTTTATACACGTTCATAACTATGAAACCGTGAACTTTCATCTCCTTAAAGGTAAACGCTTTGAATTGAAACGGGAGTTTAGGCGCTAACAAAGGAAGCATTAATTATGAAGTTTGCGAAAAGTTCCACTTGCCACAACATTGTCTGCGAATAGAATAAATATTTGTGGGCCCGGGAAAAAAGCGCTGAGACAAAGGCGGCGAGTTTCAAACAAATCTGCTTTACTCATAATTTACTTTAAGGCTGCGGATTTTGGCTCTTGAAAGTCAAAGAACTTCGCTTTTCTGGCGTTGAGGCTAATTATGGTCCAAAATTGGTGCCCATGATTCTCTCCTGCTGAACCGAGGATCGATTCCATTATAACGAAGATGTATTTTTTATAGAGTGTATGACCTGCTCGGTGTATAAATAGAAGCCTTTGGGGGCTTTTTTTAGCAGCTTTAATAATAGAAAACTTGTAGAGGCTCTGGGCTATGAATCGAACGTGGGAGGCAATCGATAGCCAATTAATTTTAGGCAGGGAGAACTCAGCACGGCTTTGTTTGGTTGCAGGAACCATATGGTTGGCTTGGTACCTGAGCAGCCTGAAAGTGGTGAGGGGCGGCGAAGCGGAGACGAGTTCGTGCACGTTCAACTCGATGTGTGCGTGTTCGCCCGACCAGCTGAACCCGAATCCTTCCATTGATAGCATCGCATGCTACTCGGTGCCATTTTACAAGTTTCCAGGTGAGTAAATCCGGATCCAGTAGGGAATTTCATAGGTCATCGGCCACATTAAATTCGGATTCATGTATCCAATACGCAAAGCGATTCGAATGGAAAGATCTGCAATTTACGCCGCTCGAAGTCCTGAGCTATCGCTCTAGAAATCTCTGTCTGCCCTAAATTATGTATCGCATCACGTCGCCCCATTTACTCTGGGCGCAAATCGATACTCAGGACCTGTTCGTTTTCTATTTTGCATCCGATGACGTTGTCCAATCTCATCCCCGAACCCTAATCACATTTTACACAACCTGTGACTCGTTATTGGCTCGTCGACTTCTAATCGACAGTCGGTTTGATGATCGATCTCGTGTAAGATGGCACGTTTCATCGCTGTACACCCGTTTACTCAAATGTCTCGCATAAAATTTACTCGACAATTTACACCTAAGTTGTAGATAAGTTCTATATTGTTGAGGCGGATTCATTTTTTACAAACTTCTTTTTGGGTATTTCGCCTCAAAAATTTTTGTCTTTAAA